CAACAGTGTGAAAATGACGAATCCACCCCTCAGTGCGCTGCATTCCGTCGGTTACAATGGAACGCGGCATTACGTCAAAGATGATTGGCAAAGTTGGGTGGTGTCTTCAAACCAGATCCATATCCTTTCATTTGTTTGTCATTCCACTGAGTGCGTAAGTGCACTCACAGTTAATAATATTTGTTGGGGTTTAACGTTCCAAAGCCACCATATTATCATGAGAGACGCCGCAGTGGAGGTTTCTGGAAATTTCGACTATCTGGGGTTCTTTAACGGCATCTAAATTTAAGCACATGGGCCTCAAGCATTTTCGCCTCCATTGAAAATGCAGCCATAGCAGCCGGAGAAGTGCGCTCATGCAATTGGGTGTCACCAACTTTTCATGATATTATTTTTTAAAAGCGCAGGCTGTTTAAATTCACATTGAAGCGTTTGATTCCTGCACTATGTATCCTTTAGAATAATCAGCGTGGTAGCCTCTGAGATTAGTTCCGGCCGAGCACCTTAGACCGTATATGGTCTAAGGTGCTCACGATAGTTGCAGTCATGATATATCGTGACTGCAACTAAACCTGTGGGCACCTGTATGATCATCATCGTCGGCCTGTACATTCTCGCGCACTGCTTGGTTGATGCGCGCCCTCTTTCCCCGTCTTCTAGCTCCCAGAGCACGTGCGGCATGAGCTGTTTGGCTGTGCAGTATACTCACTTAGCGTAGTTAACTATGGACACATTATGGACATGCTAATTAAACTAAGTCCTAGTAAGACCGAGGTTATTACGCAACATCTTACTAAGACGATGATAATGAAGCCATGTAAAGCTAGGATTAACGCATGCCAGCTAGCTACGACTAACGAAGCCAGCTAGCTAGAACTAACGCATGCTAATAATTCGAAGTGAATCATGAGCACGCTAAGTGAAATTATGGTAAATATACCTTTTTAACTAATATACAATATTTAGGATTGTGCTAATTAGAAACATGTTGCCTCGCTTTATACTAATCATGATCATGCTAATTGCGCCTGAAGTAATTATTGTCATTTTAATTTAAAATTCACCAATCAAAACAAAAACATTCAGTGCCATGTTCATTAAGTCTTAGCTAATTAGAATATTCAAAAATAAGACCGAGCTGGTGCGGTCTTCACTTCGAAGCAGCCTCAGTAGACAACTACCTCAAAAAGTTAGAAGAAGCTAGGTGATCACAAGCTCCTCTAAGGCTCCATCCTTGCACATGTATATAGTCAAGCTGACCAAATTATGTTATATGCGAAGAAGCTGCTACTTAACGTCCTCCACACGAAACACTTGGCAATCACACCGGTGCCATGACAGTCATGAGTTGAACTCGGGCCTTCTTGGAATCAACAAGTTTGTATCAGAGTTAATAAGTAAATCACTTTGATTGACATACGCCCAGCCCCATCGCGGCGGTCTAAGGTACTCGGCTGCTGACCCGCAGGTATTGGGATCGAATCGCTGCTGTGGCGGCTGCATTTTAGATGGAGGCGAAAATGCTGTATGCCCGTGGGCTCAGATTTGGGTGCACGTTAACCATAACCCCAGGTGGTCGAAATTTCCGGAGCTCTCTACTATAAGGCGTCTCTCATAATCATATGGTGGTTTCGGGACATTAAACGCCTTTATATAAATATCAAAATAAATCAATTGACTGACGCTCACGGCGAAGATAGGGTCCGCCCACCGCGTTTGCTCTTGCCGACGAGCAGCGCTCACACCGCAACGCCAGAGAGTGGCACGATTGACGTATCAGCTTTAACGCGCAGACTATGCGTACACGAACAAAGAAGCAAGAGTTATATCATCACGTGGCTATATAAGATGTCTCTCTCGCATTGAATTTTACCGCACTCACGACGTATCCACTCACAGCCGCGTGGCCGCCATGATGCGAGCGCTCTGGGTGACAACCTGCATAGAGTTTCCCACAATACTTACTAGAGGGAACTCTGGCGCTAGTGTCTATGGGAGTTGCAACACACGGCGCTTCAGCGAGCATGGGAATGATGGGTAGTACACACATTTGTCTAATTTTCGTACTTCTGACCTGCTTCTGGCTCCGTGTGTGTTCGTGTGGCTTGGGGCGTTTGCGCTTCACAACCTTATTCTTTTAAGCTTACTATTTCAAATCAAGTCCCTAAGTTCAAAAGGGTTCGTTCTTTCTTTTCAAAACAAAACCGTAACCAGTAATAAACGAAGCCGCAAGTACGATTCGCCGCCCGCAAGTACGAAGACTAGGCAAACGTGTGTACTACCCATCATTCCCATGGTCGCTGAACAATCGCAGCGCCAGAGTGCCCTCTAGTTAATTTTGGGAAACTCTATGACAACCTGTCCTTATATTTGTACGAAATGTTTCATAGACGCGTAACGAGCAACATAACAATGCTGCGTGAGCACCCTTGCTCTGACGTGTTTGCACGCGATGGTTCTTTCGTAATCACCGCAAGTGGCCCACATGTGTTTCTGACGCCATGCTCGTTCTTGTAGGCGTTTTTATCGAAGCTACTATCTCCTGCTCCGTGCTGCCTCCGTGCCATGACCACCGTAGAGCGAGCTCGGAGCCAACTCACATGCCCGAGAAGCTTGGACCATCGTGCATACCATCGTGCATAGCATGCAGGTGGTCAAAATTTCCGGAGCCCTCCACTACGGCGTCTCTCATAATCATATGGTGGTTTCGGGACGTTAAACCCCACATATCAATCAATCATCAGTATGCATGGACAGAAAACTGTGCTCTTTGCTGTCCATGTTGTTTCTTCTTACCGTTGTCGTGCTGTAGCTACGATGTAACTGCAGATTGCACTTCATTCTGGGCGTTTTCGACAACGCAAGTGGACATTACAGCGAGTTGCCAAAACGAGCGACCCCCTGATGGGTTCAATACGTAGTGGTGACATTGTTGACCTGTGTCATGGAAAAATAAGTAGTGAGAAGCAGATGGCGCTGTTAGGAAGGGTGACGCAGTAAGAAATTGCTCTGTCGTGTTTGAATTCACAGTGGTTAAGGTTAAAAAGCACTTAGACTTGGGTGAGTTGGTACACAATTGGGTAGGCGTCAACGCCATTTACACGAAGACCATAGGAAACACACACAACACATAGACAATTCTATTTAAGAGTGGTTAGACCATGCGATGAGCAATCTTTGAAAAGGGAATGTCGTGGGTTCTAGAGCAATTCCCCGTTAGAAGGTCTCCTATAACCTGGAGCTCCACTAATCTCCCAACTTCCGTTTCTTCTGTCTTCGTGATTGAGGCCAAAAGATTAAGGTCAATTGAAGTAAAAATGGCATGGGTTTTCATCATAATAATATAACTTCAAGTTTTGCGTTGATTCGAGCCAATAATAAACTGCAGCAGAACACGGAAAATTAAATGTAAAGCAAACAACGTAGACGGCAGCAGAAGCATTGACAAGAAAAAGAAAGTTTCTCGTAGCAGTCAGGGGTTATGGGAAACTGATAGACGTCATACAGCAGGAACAATATCAAGCATGGTCGAAAGAAAGCCCGTTGGAGCGGAACGAGACCCCGGAGCAAGAAAATAAAAAAAAAACGAGTTGTAGAAGAAAATAAGTAGGTGTCTAGGGAGTATAGAGAAGCCACGAAACTGGGATTATATACAGAAGAGGCACGAATGCTTAAGAGTAGCTGGTAAAGAGAAAAAGAAGTGGAGAAACTGAAAGCTCTAACTTTTGGTATGAAATAGTTTAAGTGAAAATAAAGTAAAATACACTGTTCCTAATTACACTTGGGCCGTATTAGATGTCAAAACAGGTGATTAAAACTGCTCAATGCAAAGAGAGAGACATAGCTGACTCGAGTCATGGATCGATGATTTGATTGATATGTGGGGTTTAACGTCCAAAATCTACCATATGATTATGAGAGACGCCGTAGTAGAGTGCTCCGGAAATTTCAACCACCTGGGGTTCTTTAACGTGCACCCGAATCTGAGCACATGGGCCTACAACATTTCCGCCTCCATTAGAAATGCAGCCGGCACAGCCGGGATTTGAACTCGCGATCTGCGGGTCAGCAGCTGAGTACCTTAGCCACTAGACCACCGTGGTGGGGCCGTGTCATGGATCGAAGAATAATGTAATTAAGGAAATTGTGATTTCGTGGCTCAAAACCGGAAGAACCTTATAGCTGTATATATTTCGGGCATGACTCTTGTTTCGTCAAAGTGAAACACGCAACCCCCGACGGTTAGTTTATAAGCCAGTGGATGTAATAGATTATAAAATTTCGGCACATACAATCAATACACGTTAGAAAAATAGGTAGCTCTGTCAATGTCACATGGCTTAGACTAATAAACAACAAACAATAAATGACAGAACAAGCTTTTAAGAAAGCACAACTAAGGAAAAAAAGAGCAATTCGGAAGCATAATTAGCACAAGGTGCAAAGGAAAAAAAAGACACTTTCATCTTGCAGTTATATCTTGGAGTGAAAATCACGGAAATTATTAGTAAACAAAAATATATAAAATATACAAAAACATATAATTCTTCACTGGATTCCAGTTTGTGTAGAATGTCAGGAGTGCATGAAAGTCAATGTACTGTGATTTCCGTTTAGATCACGACTTGTCATAGATTTGCGGATGAGATACGTGATTCTCGAACATCTCTGTCACGACGACACCTGAAGCCTGACTTGTAGTTCTTAATTTGATAAAGTAATGACGGGGAAGTACTATGTCTTTGAATAATGGTCGGTTAAGGATTGTTGGAACGCAGACGGAAGCCACTTTCGTACTTCCGGTATGCCCTGTGTATATATAACGAAACGTTGAGGTGGTTTTACCTTTTTTTAAATTTATAACATAGCGAGGCATTCGTTTTTGGGGCTGCCAAAAATCAGAATTTTTGAGCTGACAAAGTATATGAAAGAGGAGGGGGGTGGGGTGGGAGTTGCAACAAAATAACTCACCTGGACTCAAAGCGCAGACATGAACACCTTCACTTTTTCTTTGGCAAGGGTTCAACCACACCATTGACAGTGCGGCGGACGAGCTGATTGTTAATGTATTCCTCTTCAATGTCGTAGCCGTCTTGAACGACGATCTCCTTCCCGTACAATTCGAACACCAGTGGTCGCTGTGGCGATGCCGGTCCCGCGGTCGAGGCACCTTCGGGGGCGTGTCCCGTGGATACGGAAGTGGCACTCGCTTGTGGTGATGCCGCGGGGGTATGAATAGAATGGAGTGACGCAGCAGTCGTAGCGGCAGGTCGTGGTGACCCGCCGGTCTTCTTGGGAGCACATGGCGGTGATGCGGTGGGCTTAGGGCACGGGTGTGGGGACAAGGCAGTTGTAGGTGCCTTGTGTGCCGACGCGATGGGTGTAGGGCCCTGGAGAGCGAATTAGCTCGGATAAATGGAGTTCATCATCATCAACCTAACTTATGTCCATTGGGAGACCAAAGCCTCTACCCAAAGATCTACAAGCTACCCGCTGAAGGTTCCAAAGTGGAAATTCGGATTGCGTCTCTAACCCTCCTCCCATAATTGTCAATGGGTGCATCAGAAAGCCTGCCCCGCCGCGGTGGTCTAGTGGCTAAGGTACTCGGCTGCTGACCCGAAGGTCGCGGGTTCGATTCCCGGCTGCGGTGGCTGCATTTCCGATGGAGGCGGAAATGTTGTAGGCCCGTGTGCTCAGATTTGGCCGCACGTTAAAGAACCCCAGGTGGTCGAAATTTCCGGAGCCCTCCACTACGGCGTCTCTCATAATCATGTGGTGGTTTTGGGACGTTAAACCCCACAAATCAATCAATCAATGCATCAGAAAGCCTGGGAAAAAAAATGAAGGTAACGGCAGGTATAACAATATTCGCAGTGTATGTAGTTTGTGGTTACCGACGCTGCCTGGGAAGTGCATTGATGGTATATAGGCCTGGGAAAAACAGCTGATTCACCGTTGCTCTGTTTGATAATTACGTGACGTAAACAGCGGTGAACGGACACTCGTGTTCCGAAACGGGAATCACGTGTATAGAGTTTATCATACGTTGAGACGGAGGGAACGCTTATCTCTAGGCGCTGACTATAGCCGCTGATCACGCATGAGCGAAAAAAAAAATCGAGCTCATTGTGCAGTCCCATGTGAGGCGTCGGTAACTAAGCGAGAGCAAAGGAAAAGCACAGAGTCGTCGTTCCATTACATGTGGAGCACAGAAACACAAAGGTCGCCATGGGTGAGAGCCATCACAACGCGCCTGCGCTAGTTCCCGCTCCAGTATACGCATATCCTTGATGTTCCTGTTAAGAGCTGCGGCACTTCTATTGCCACCTTCAGACAATCATGCAGGTTATAGTACCATGCTCGGGCGCAAACTCGGCAGCCTTTGGCGGCGAGCATGCAACTTCTGTACCACATTCGTGGTGAAACAGCGGCAAAGTGGGCCATATCGCAAAATGATCATATTGTGGTGTCATAACTGAAGTAACTGTAATCACCGTGAGGGTAAGCTCAGGGTGTGATCCTTACGCAGCGATGAATAAAAATAAATACATTGTTGACAGAATCCAGGGGTCCTATCGTTACGCGAGTACGATAGTTAAGAGAGCAAAGACGTTAGTTTGCATATACAATACTGAAGGCCAAATAGCGGAGAAAAAGCGAGAGTGTCGAGGGGGAGGGGAGTGCATGAAGGAAGTGAAGATAATATATGAAAATCTTGCTCCATGAACTATTCAGCTTTAACAAAAGGCAAAATCGAAACTTGGCACAATTAGCGATCATGGCTATAAACTTGAGCGAAATTGCACAAAAAAAAAAAAAACAGTGTGGCTACTTGACCATCAAAGTTCATTATTAAGTGTGTGCAAATATTCAAAAATTTTGAAAAACAAATCCCATAACGTTTATTCGATTAGGTACTAGATTTGAATACTGCATATATGACATATCAAAAATTTTTCTAATAAGCTTTGAATTACCAGCAATGACAAAACTTCTTGAAGGAATGAGACGGAGGAACAGCGAGGGATAACTTTTCTCGTTTTTGCCAACAAATTGTTCAGATGTATGCCGTTCATTTACTTATCTCACAATCTACGCCATATTGACCACAAGAAGACGTTTTGCTTAGAACTACATTGTCGCCGAATCGACACTGTCAGTAACACATTGACTTTGCCTTTATATTCATGACGACGCTAACTCATGAAAAAAGTAATATTTAACTATCAGATTTATTTAAAAGCCCTTGACAAAGTACCAACTTTAATGGAGAAGTCACAATTAAATTTCAGCCTGCAGTTACAAAACATTTCGAAGGCTGTCGTTGCTGCTCGGTTTAAATATTTGTAGTATAGCCTTTCTTGGTTAAAAGAAATCCTAATGTTCCTCTTCTAAACCTTGTGTATGTTTCAAATAAAATGTTGGCGAATTCTCGAGCTGTTTCGAAAGTCAATCGCCTAGTCAATCTCGACCTGCTTTGAAGACGGCAGCTTTACTCTTTGAAAACTATTCGAATAATATTCGCTTAGTATTTGTATTTGATGCGATCTCATCATTATTCGAATTGTATACGATTCGGCTCTAAAGTTTACTGTTTGCAAAGCCCTATTATTTAAACGTCAATAGGTCGATGTTTCAATGGATTTCCGATTGCGTACAAAAGACTGCCTTCGAAATATGATTATCTTGCCACTTACCTCGTGGTTTTTTCTACGATTTTTTGACATTTTTATTGATTATATGTGAAGGCCAACAAACAGGTAATTAAGTAATGTCGTAAGCGAAGAGAGTTTGGATGGAGCAAATCACGCTTGTGTAATATTTTATCATTTATGAAACAGTTCAAGTCTTGTAAATGAGTCCAGTCACGTCACTAAGTATGAATTATTTGCCGAGGCGATGCCCATTATTTGCGAAACGAAAACAAAGAGAAAAACCCAAAGTGAATAAATGTCATGCAATAACCTAATTTGCAGACCCCGCAGCACGTGGTTGTTTGTATGTACATTTATTGCTGTCTTTAGCGTAGCTATCAGGACTTGAAATGAACTGAAGAGGGTGAAAAACTACCCTTTCGGTCGGTGGGATCGGAACACACAACCGTAGATGCCTTAATAGTTTAGCTACCGCGGAAAGCGTTTCTCCATCTACACTGAGTATTTCTGAATGTGTGATCTATAGGAGTGCTTGCGCCTGATTCGAAGGTTGGGTTTTGCATTCGTTTGCACTGAAATGCAGCTTCGGCATGCCGCGTGTGAAAACAGACCACCTCACCATGGCTGCTCAAACCGCTTCGATAAGAGAAGGGGCCGAGCGGAAGTATACGCCTGTCGCAAAAAGAAAATTGCTACAGTAGCTTCTGTTTACTTCGCCCATCGACGTCAGAGGTGTTGGATCGCTGCATGCGTAAGCAAAACTGAACAATTTAGATTCACCTCTTCTGGTCTATGAGGCCATTTGGAACCGCATGCGTATATGAACTAGGTCTTCAGAGCTTAAAAACTAATGAAGTAAATTACAATTAGTGAATAAATGTTTTACTTTGGGTTTCAACACAAGTGATATCTGCCTTGACGTAATATCCAATATCCGTATGTGGTGGCGTAAACCACGTTGATATTTTCTGAAATGTTCCAAATAGAGAAAAACAACATTTGCTCACAAAAATGCCTGTTTGCACTGCGAAGCCCGCATAGACTCAAGCTAGTGAGACATCAAAGATTTTCAAATCGCGTAACTGCCGTCTGCGATAAGTGAACTGTAGTGGAAGAGATTATTGGTCAAGTCGGCTAAGCTTCGTCTTAACAAAACGAGAACACCTCATGCACATGTATACGAGGGCAACAGGACAGCCACAAGTACGGGCACTGATTTGGTACGATGAAGGACGTTCGGGCCCATGACAGCTCAAGCTGACGTGTTTAAGTACCATGACTTGGGGGCCGCGATTCGAAGCGAGAAGCCTGGATATTTTGTCCTCTTGTCATAAGCAATCCTTTCTTACAAAAAAAAAAAAACAGTGCGAATGAGTTTACTCCGTAACAAATATTCTACGCTTATTGTGGCTTCAAAATATCTGCCTAATATATCTATTTTTTCTGTGGCAGCTCTGTTAGTGTGGTATCGTTTAGCGATCATTGGATAACATGCATTTGTCCCTCTCCGAAGGCTCAGCTAAGTTAGACACAGCGTTTAGTTGAGGCACTGGTGTGCAGCTTGAAAAGCAAATTCCGACTGCAAGAAATTCTGATCAACCAGTGGCATTCCTCCGTCATGCTATAGCCCGTACTTGGCCTCGATGTCGTGCCATATCTCGGAGGTTAGCAGTTTCAAAAGGGGTGATCTAACCAGAAAACAAGCTTTCGCATTTTCCACCTCTTAGTTATATGTACCTTTGCTACCCTAAAATTGTTAACAAGAAGTATCCTATCGGCAAAAGCAAAAAAAAGACCCTATAGTGCACAGTATATATACTTAGCTAAAGAGGGTGGCCAGTAGCTAATAGTCATTGTTTCAATACTACCGTAACTAACTGTTCATAGTACTTATCTAGTTTTCGCTCTCACCCGATAGCCATGGATGGGACAAGGATGACGTGGTGCATAGACGATGTAAGGATTGTACGGGTTGTACGGGCTGTAAGGATTGTAGGGGTCGTATACACCGTAAGGGCGGTTTGGTGCGAACATGTTGGTCCATTGCGGAGACGTGCCCAGGCTGTAGTCCGCATGTTCGGTCATTGACGAAGGTGCACCCACGCTGTAGTCGATGTGTGCTTGCGAGATGGTCGTCTTGATGGGCGCGTTCTTGCTCGAACCACCCTGCGGTGACCCGGTCTTGATGGCATTGACTTCGATGACCTTTTCTCCGAGCTTGGTTCTCAGGTTCACTTGTGATGATGAACTACTCGAGCTGCTTTCCGAAGACATGGTGCTACGAGGGGCTCTGTAACCATGAGCGGATGATAATAATTAACAGGAAAGTGTGTTTCTACTTATAGTCTAGTTAATTTTGCGTTGCATCGTTAATGACACAACATAATCAGTATTAAGGGGTAATATACGCCGAGTTCATTGGGCGCGTGGCATATCATCGGACAGGCAATAGGTTATACATATGGTGCGAGTAAAATAAGGTAGCCTGCTGTCAGGTCTAACAAGGAATGCTATCCTGTTGAGCCATGAATGCGGATGCACTTGTGCTTTCCTGTCGATGTTGCACATAGCCGTTCTATTATAGCCTAAAGCATACAAATATGCTGCAAGGAAAAACCACCAGTTACTTTTTTTCGATATGGATTTGGTATTAGGGAGAAGATTTGAAAGCAGATTGAGTAGCCATTTTTATTGAATTCATGCTAACTTTGAGCATTCACTACGGAAAATTGTGAAGTGTCCTTTCAGAGAAAAATAGCAATGATGCCTAATAGATTGTTCAAAAAAAAAAAGACAAACGCAAATGAGGACTGTCCGGAATGATTCTTCGACAAGGGATCTACGCTTGCTGTGCAGAGGCACCACTTGCTGATCAAATACCCGTAATTATATAAATCTGTTCAGGGAAAGATACCACAACGCCGTAGCGCAATCGATTGTGCAAGCCATGCGTTATGTCGACACTGTGTGTCTTCCATTTACAATCTTCTCAGTTCACCGAAATTTCACTCCTGTGCGGCCTCCATGCGCAATAATTGGTGCAGAAGTGATGATCAACAGTATACAGTCTACAAAAATTCAGTGACAGGCCCGCATGTTACAGCAAAAGTCAGAAGGATGGCAATAGTGCCAGTACTCACGCAAGGAAATAAATGACCTCGTGTAGTAACCGGAATGAAGGAAGCACAGCTGATGCATTGGCGATGGTACTTTTCGCGGTAGAACATAGTACAACATAGTTCATTTCTCGACTCAGATAATGAATCCCTTTGTTATAAAACCACATAGAAATCATTCTAGAAGAAAAAAAAGAAAAAAAAAAGGCCAGCTAGGAAACTCCGCTTCAGAAGCATTGATAACTTGGAAAGAGCAACACCATACGTCTCCTTATGTTGTTCAAGCTTTCTTGTTGCGATAACATCTGTACTAAAACCAGATTACCGGAGACATGACCCTCACTTCAGCAAAGCCTGTTAATTTTTCCTTTATGTCCTCAATCTGCGGTATTTAACCATGGTGTTGCTTGCTTCCCTATCCATCAATATTTTAGTCGTCCAAGTGAATGCCATGTTAAATTTTTGCACCCATGTCAATAAAATAAATTTTGATTTTTACTATGTCATTGTTTTGTTACTTTTATTTAATTTTTTTCAAAATCGGCTACATCAAAGCAGACCGTGGTATTTCTGATAACAATGGATTCCTCACCGTGGGTATGAGCCACATGTTTGCTGAACAACACCAGCAACAGATTCAACCTACTAGAAAGGATAAATGAGTTCTATATCGGTTGATGTCTCTCCGTCCATGTGCACAGCATACAATTACTAAAAGTGCTCCCTCCCTATACACCCCTCACAGATACACACTTTGGTCACACCAAAAAGCAAAATCAGGTGGTGCAAAAAAAAAAAAAAGGAGAAACGTTTGCAAAAAGCGCTTTGTGCAAAGAGAAAGAGGAAACAAACAGTAGGTGAACTAAAGACTACGCAACGGTGGAATCGACATCGAAGGCTGAGTCTTCTAGGAGTGCGCTCTTCTTTCCTTTCGAATAAGAAATATTACACAACAAACTATACGTTGTCTGAAGGCATTTCAACAAGACCTCTTTGTTCCATGGGCTAACCTGTTTTTCTTACATGCTGTAAATTTCTTTGTCTTGACTACTGTTTAGCGCATTTTAGCAGGGTAAGGTGATGCCGACAGCACATTGTAGTAGCTGTATCTACGATTGCTATAGAATTTATTGTATCAAAGGGTTTTGTTAGGTTTCTTAATACAATACTTGCTTCTGTAGTTTACTTACGCGACGCCAGAATTCGGTGCGCTATCATGGTGGGATACTCTAGATGCTAAGATGATGATGCGGTGTTTCGACTTGTTTTATTTTGCCATGGCAGTGGTAGGGCTATGTTCCCCGTTTGGCATTTCTAGGAGTATACAAGCGTGGGAATGGAGGATCGAATCGCTGGATGAAAGCAAAGCTTCATGACTACAAATATTCGTGGCGTCCTCGAAGGCCCGGTTCTTGCCAAGGACTTTGGGGGTCCGAACGGCATTTTTCGGTTATTTCTGTGCCATACTGCAACACCTGACAGAAAAAAAAGAAGCAACCTTGCTTCATGTATTTTTAAACTGAGCATATGATTTTCATCAATTCTATGACCCTTCGTTCTGCTGTTTGCTTTGTCGGGCATGAATGACATGCCAAGCGCGCTATTATTCATATTTTGTAGCAGTAAATGTTGCGCAAGTGCGACTTATGCCTGAACATTTCAATCCTATAATTATACGCTTAGTAGTCCATAACCCGCATTCATAGTTAAAGATATCGCCATAATACCTCATTCAGTGCGCCGATTCGCTGTTTGAGCAAAGGAGGGCACAAGCAGCCTTTTCATTACATTACATGTCACGCATAACGACGCTGTTGCCGAAGAAAGGGGTGGCCCAGCAGAACACCCACCTGACTATGAATGCTATCATGCAGGATGGTGTGTTTAGTCACCACATATTTATTCTCACCGTCTCCAATCCAAAAAAAAAATTTATTTCCAAAGAGCGCTGTGCCTTGCTGTCGTCAAGGGGCTTCCAGTCGGTCTTCAGTTGAGTGGCTGCGGGACACCGTTGACAGTGCGGCTCGTAAGACGGTCATTCTCGTACACTTCGATGGTCTCAATGCCGTTCTCGATAATGATTCGCTTCTCGAATTTTCCTCTAACGTCCTGTGGCCTTGGATTCGGCACATTAACGTTCTTCACCTGCAGGAGGAAAAATGTTCCCAATTGAAAGCACACTAACGCCATCACCGATACAACGGCAAGTCATTGACAATTGTTTGCAGCATAACTAAGGGCACACTGAAGGATACGGACAACAGAAGATTGCCGAAAATACAGTCATCGCAATGTTTATGTTTTTACACGTTAGTTAGTTCTCTTAAAACCGTTGTTTTGGAGTTGTCTTGCTCATCCGTCGGTGAACAAGTACTGGTGCACTATGTTTACATGCATGGTCACTACCACGAAAGCATACCGCGTTTTCTTATACTCGGCCCCCTGTTAGAGCCACCTTACAGAAGCTGAACTGTCGTTGCATTCGAGCTCTCTGATAGTTTACCGAAACTGCCAATTAAGCCATTCTGAATTGAACGGCACCAATATTCGTTTACAGCAGTTGGCTCTCATTGTGCCTACACAAAATGCACCGGTGAACGGCACTAAACTCTGTTTCTAACCAGAACAACCAATCATGAAGTTCGTGACACTGGCACTCGTCTCGCTCTTAACATGGTGCAAGATGACATTCCGTTTGTCGGTCGACATAATCGGAGGTAATAAAGGACGGGTGTGATCGCTTGGCAGCGAGATTCGAAGTGCACTAACACTCACCTGGCCACTTCGGTCCGCAATTTGGTAGTTGGTGCCTTCGCTCGAGATGGTGGTGCGGATACTGCTTGGGGTTTCGCCGTAGATGGTCAGGTTGCCTCCCTGCTCATCCGGACCCACTTGCACCGAGCTCACCTCGATGCGCGAGCCCGAGCTGCCGGATCCCGTAACGCTCACTTGCGAGCCTTGCGGAGAAAGTTCCGTGAACGACATTGTTTATGTCCGGGTCGGCGGTCGCTGTGGAGAAGATAAAACGTTGAAGTGTAACCGAGAAGTTACCAATTACACGAAAAAAAAAGTTACAAGGGAACAAAATCAAACGCAGCAGGGTTTTAAAAAAGTTAAGGATGCTCTCTACACTGACTCCTCAAAAATTACACTCAAACCATTAATCAGCAAACACTGCATGGTTGAAAAAAATTTCATTACAAGCTGGATGGCAGTTGTCGGTATGAGCAAATTTTAGGCCGTGACAGTTTATGGCATACTCATTCGTTTTAGAAAATCACTAGAATTACAAGTAACTCCAGATATTCATAATTGAAATTTTAATGATAATATTGAAACGTAGCCTGCCATGCACAAAAGAAATGCGGCCTCTGTGTCACGCCAAACCGTACCTGCGATGAGGAAGCGACAATACTTGAATCAGGGTTCGTCGAAACAACCAACAAGATTCAAGTATATACATTTTTTTTTTATTTTCCAGACAAAACTGGAGGGACGCTAAATTCAAAAGCCGTGATAACTGCTTGACAAAGTTCCTGGCGACCGGTACATACACAAGACAGTAGTGCGGAAATGATTACAAGTAAATAACATGCAAGTATTGTATAGAACATGAACAATGCATACTGATTCAAATGGTCAGGCGAAACGGCAAGTCTTCTGAAACCCACAAGTGGACTGTTTATTTGCGTGGGACTCGCAGCGTTTTCGTTTAGACAAAACAAACAATGATGATCCGTTAAGATACACCTTATTTGTCTCCGGCGAGACAGATTATACCGAATTGAGGTACGATTTTGATGAAATATACAGCATTAATAAAACGCTGTTATGAAATCACTGTCAATAAAACATAAAAGAGGCTGCTGAAAATGAGCCGATATTGTAGAATAAATACGCGGGAATCTAAGGCCAGCCGACGCTAAACAAGAAGCTAGTGGTACACAGGGGGTTACGGTTATTACTTGGCGATGGAAAACAAGACGTCTCCAGACTCGTCAATACAATTTCCTCGGCAACTTGATTGCTCTCTATCTCACTCTGTTTAAGTGAAGCATCTTTTTCTCTAACCAGACAATTTGCATAACTTCTGCCCGTCGTGTTTTGTTTTAATGCGCGAATATTCAAAGTAGCCTACGACAGATAGAATAACTGCAG